ACAGACTGACTACAAACAATGGCATGACAAAGTAGCAACAATGGTGCATTGGAATATCTGCAAGAAATGCCATTTGCCTGCAAGCAAGGACTGGTGGGACCACAAAACAAAGTAATAGAAAATGAAGAAGCTAAAATGCTTTGGGACTTTAGAATTCAAACAGACAAGCACCTGCCACATAACAGCCCAGACTTAACAATAAGAAAGACAAAAAAGTCTGGATAGTGGACATTGCAATACCTGGAGATGGCAGAAGAGAAGAGAAAGAACTGGAGAAAACCACAAAATACAAAGACCTGCAAATAGAAATAGTATGACTGTGGCAAAATAAAGCAAAGATAGTACCAATAGTAGTAGATGCCTTGGATGCAATTCCAAAACATCTGCAGTACCATTTGAAGACCATCAGCATTGTCAAAATCACCATCAGTCAATTGCAAAGTGCAGCTTTACTTGGAATAGCTTACATCCTGCAACAATACCTGTAGCACCATCAAACAACATCTGCCTATCCCAGGTCCTTGGGAAGGACTTGAGAGGTGGATAAAAATGCCAAATCTAGTCTAAACATCTGGCTGACTGTGTGACCGACAATAATAATACCTAGTCAGCTGCTGCAAGAAGATCACACAGACTGACTACCAAGCAACAGCATGATCAAGTAGCAACAATGGTGTATTGGAATATCTGCAAGAAATACCATCTGCCTGCAAGCAAGACCACTAAACAGACAAAGTAATAGAAAATTAAGAAGCTAAAATGCTCTGAGACTTTAGAATTCAAACAGACAAGCACCTGCCACATAACACCCCAAATTTAACAACTGTTGATAAGAAAGACAAAGAAGTCTGGATAGTGGACATTGCAATACCTGGAGACATCAGACTAGAAGAGAAAGAACTGGAGAAAAACACCAAATACAAAGACCTGCAAATAGAAATAGAATGACTGTGGCAAAAGAAAGCAATGATAGTACCAATAGTTATAGGTGCCTTGGGTGCAATCCCAAAACATCTGGAAGACCATTGGTGTTGACAAAATCATCAGTCAATTGCAAAAGGCAACTTTACTTGGAACACCTTACATCCTGTGACGATACCTTTAACACCATCAAACAACATCCATCTATCCCAGGTCCTTGGGAAGGACTCAACAGGTGGATTAAAATGTCAAATTGAGCCTAAACATCTGGCTGACTGTGCAACCAACAATAATAATACTGAAAAATCAGAAATTTTATGGCTTTAATGGAGGTGTCTTAGGGCACAGAGCTAAGAAAACTGGCCAAGTAAGAACTAACCAATTATTTAGAGCTGCCTTGCAGGAAATATGTGACCTTCCCTGGAAATGTGTGACCTTCCCTGCCTAATCAAAGCAATGATAAGACCATTATTATTAAAGAATCTTTCTCTTGACTTGAAACAGCTGGGAAAAACTATTGACCACTCTCTACTTTCTCACCACTCCAGAGATATTTGGAAGATATTAATTCACTGGACCAACTTCAACCGAGGTTTCAGACAGGATATGGGACTCAATTTGCTTTGATCCTTTGGTGGATCATATTTTCAGGGAACTGGATGGCAGAAGTTTCCTTTAGTAAGATGCTCTTTCACAGACAATGCAACTCCATTCAGAACAGGCTGAATTCTAGTTTTACAATCAATTCTATTGTACTTCTCAGCATATCCAAAATATGATTCTGAGAGACTACTGCCAGTCCCACAGGCCTTCATTTTGTCCAGTATCCCATTCACATCTACTTTAATCTTCTGGGAAAGATAATTCAGAGTATTGGAGTGAATTTCCATCAGTATGTTGATGACCCCCTGCTCAATTCCCCTTGCTAACAACTATAATGAAGTGGTTGTTTCCCTTGGCCAACACCCAAGTTTGTTAGCAAAGATGAACAACCTGAAATTGAAACCAGACCCAGGGGGATACTATTGATGAGTAGAAAATTAGCCTGTGGAACTAGAATTCAGCCTGTTCTGAATGGAGTTGCATTGTCTGTGAAAGAGCCATTCTCTAAACTGGGACTGCTCCTTGACCCTCAAGCTATCTCTGAAGTGGCAAGGATTTGTTTGCACAGTTATATGTAATGCATCTGTTGCAACCACTCCTGAATAATCAAAGGGTAGCTATACCTTAGTTATTTCTGAAATATTATGCTGTACCTTGGGACTACCCTTGAAGAATATTTGAAAACCTGAATTGTTGTAAACTAACTAACTAGTACACTAGTTAAGTACATGATACTGAGGTAATCTCACCCATGTGGAAAGAAGCACACTAGTTAATGATTGTTTTCTTGGGACCCTTTAAGATGTTGGTTTTGAATGTTAAAGCCTTAAATGGCTTGAGTCAATGCTACCAAGGGGCCACCCACCTTGGTTCAAGTCAGCAGAATGTGGCCTCACTTTCCATTTGTCCAGCATACAGGAGAGAGACCTTTCTCATGTTGCTCCTGAACTATGGCCTGCACTGTCTTTGGAGTGGACCTAGCATCCACTCTTTTGGCATTTATGAAAAGACTCAAGACATCCTCTTTAGCCAGACCTTTTAAGTCTAAATTAGTTAATAATAATTTTAAATGTTTTCTTTTCAAAGTTTATTTTTTATTAGTTTGTCTTTCACTGATTATCCTGTCTGTAGAAAGCCAGGATATAAACTGAAATCATATTCATTA